TTTAAAATAATTCATGTATACGTACTGGAAGTATTTGGTGGCAGCATTACGCTGATCATTTGCTTGCCTATGCCCAATTAATTCACTATCGGTTGGTATTTTGTCTTTTGGTAATGGCACTGAGTGCACCTCTAAACTGCTTAAACACAATAATGCCACTGATAAAAACTACAATAAAAAAATCAATTAATCTTCAGTTCTACTTATGTGAAAAAGTTGCGCAGTACATTGAAAAAACTTATATTATAGGTACCTTGAGACACATTTGGGTACGATGCAATTGAACACTGTTGGATGGTAAACTGGCAGTTTGGTTAAGAAAATTCGCTTTTATAGCACGTTTCACATTGGGCTTAAAATTTTATTTCACGTGACGATTTCGCCGCTCTTTCCTCAAGACTGAACACAAAAAACCGACATTTATCTAGTTCATTGGCCATAAGAATGGTAAATGAGCCATGTAATTGGATAGAAGTAAACTGATCTTAGCAGTGAAATAAAAGATATATTTAGTGTTGAAGAAGCTATTTCCAGCTTTCGAGTTTAAAAACTACTTTAATTAGTCCAATTAATGGTACCTGCAGGCACCTGAACATCTAATCACTGAGTAGGACTTATATATCTCTGATTTAGTTCTTCTTTTATATAAACAAGTAATTGGACACATTTTTTACGCTTTAAAGTTCATTCATTCCAATAAACTATCAACACAACAGTCGTACTTTGAGGTCGAATACTTTTCTTAGTTCGCGGCTCGGATTATTTTTTGTGCGGTATATGGGGAAATACACAATTTGCGAAATATGTTAGCAATCGCTGATCATTTCTAGAAGGAAAAATGGACACCTCATGTATAAGAAATTATTTAATTTAAAGCGATTTGAGATGTGAAGGATTCGGGAAAAAATTCGCTGCGCAACAGCATTTGTGAAATTGGATCATTTTAGATTAGATTTTGTATTATGGGTAAAAATTTTGTGAATTTTTTATTAGAAAAATCACTTCTTTAGGTTTTAAGTTATTTTTAATAAATACTTGTGATATATCTTCCTAAATCTAAAATTTGAATTTAAAGAAATACTATTTTGTTTGTCTATTTGTATATGTTATTAACCTTATCTAGTTCATTTTGCAATTTGTCTCTTGATTTCAACCTAAACGAATCAATAAAAAATACAGTTGAATACTTTCATGCACATTCTATTTTGCTCTTAACAATACCCGAAAGCAAATGCTGCTTTCTCGAAACCAGCAAAAAGCCCTAAACCGCAACAAGCATTGAAATTTCTTTACCGCACTTATTTTTTGGCACCAAGACTTAATGTTTATGATTTTGCTACTTAAAAAGCACAATTCAGAATCGAATGATTTGTTAAGACAAACCGCCAGCCATAAATACAAAACAATAAATATTTGGATTAGGTTCATTGTCCATAAATAGTGGCAAAAAGTATCGAACACGCCAGAATTCGGTTGGTTTTTCGGTTGAGCAATTTGAAATTAGATAGGGTATTTGGTAGACAGTGTAAAAAATTATTATTATACAGTTATAATTAGGTGAACAAACTTTTACAGTAGATTCTATGATAGAAAATAATGCTGGTGTGGTAACGAACCAGTCCTAAAATGCTTCGTTATGATAAGTTATATGATAAATTAACCAAAAAGAATATAACTACCATAAACCAAATAAAAAAGGAGGAAACTGCATATACAGGGTCACATAAAAGCACCTTTTACCATTGTTAACGTATCTTTATTCGGCTGACTTTTTATGAAACTGAAGTATTTAGACAAATATTGTACAGTTGTTAGTGAGACTTTACTTATACGTTGATCAATGTGTACATTCTTTTATAGAACGTTTTGCGAAAAGGGATATTTCGCGTCTTTCTAACGTGACTTACTAATTAGTTTTAAAATATAAAAATTATACATAAATATTTTGTTGTCTAAGTTTCCACTCTTTGTGTTATAAAATTTTATCCCAGCCTCATTAATATTTATTAAGTACTTCATTTTTTAAATAATCTGTTTATATATATTTTATACATTAAATTATTTTCAATTGATTTGTCCTGGCGGTTATAAATTTTGTATTCTAGCCATTAAGAAGGAAGTAGCATTTCATCCTGCTTGATATATCAATTTATATAAATGACAATTACAAGCCAAACACTTCAATGTAAATGGTTCGAACTTTTTAAGAGTTTAATCCAATAGCGAATGTTTAGGAAAACTTAAATTTAAATTTAATTAAAATTAATTGTTATTTAAAAACTACTAACTACTAAAACTCAATACTTATATTGATATAATATATAAATTATATTCATATAAATAAAAAGTAAACGTTTATATATCAGTATAATAATACTTAACTACTATTTGGTCATAAATATGGGCAAATAACGATGGCATTAAATTGCGAACTTGTATAAACATTTTCTAACAAAACTGGCAGAAACTAATCAAACTATATTTTACTATTATAATTTTATAGTTCTAGTTGGGCCATAAAATTTTGCTACATTCATAGATCAACAATCATAGACTTATTTATCAATCCTGGGTAATTGTAAAATACAATAGCACGATTTGTGTATGTGATCATCAACACAATTCAATTTAGGTAAACTTGTGTAACTTGAACAAATTAAATGTGTTATACCTCGGTAAAGGACGAATCATTTAAAAATGCATTTAACATCGATCCATTTACATCAACGTGCCCCTGATTACGCTTCATCGATAAATTCAAACTATATTCTTTTGAGTCATAATTTTTGTCCATTAAATTGCTTTCAGAAATTGAACGCATTTCAAAATTTTCAAGCGGCACTGTTGACCGTAATTTCAGCATTAACTCTTTGTAGCTCGAGAATATTAAAGTAAATTTTTGGAAATAGTTGCCCACAATCATTGGTAGGTCTTTGTCAAACACTAAATCACAAAACATAACTACTTCTTCGCCAGATGTTGGTGTTGTTGGTAATTGAGCATTGTTCAGTTTGATTGCAGCAATCTCTTCATTTGAATCTTCCAAGCTGCAGAGGAAACAACAGCTTGAATCTTCGGAATATTGAGTCACACCTACTACTTGAATGTTGTTATTCTTTGGATAGTAGCTTGGAGTGAATTTCAAAATTTCTTCTATCAAGTAGAACACATATAATTTATAGCAGTTTCTCGAACGAGTTGTTTCTACAGGTTCAACCAATCTGTGGTCAAGACTTTCGGTATTTGCAGTACACTTGGGATTCTTTACTGATGAGGATAGTACTTGATTATTGTCTTCTAGTGAAATTTTATTTATACCGTCTAATACTTCATCCGAAACATGCTTATAACATTCGTTAACTAACTGTGTAAGCATGTGTATATCGCTAACTCCCGTTTTATTGTTGCTGTTGTTTTCCTCTAATGTTTTCGGTTCTAACTTACGGGGTTTGGGGCGGAACTGAATTTTTTTCGGTTTTTTCTTCAATGGTGTAGTTTCAATTATATATTCCTCACAACTGACATTCATACTGATTCACAAAAAAACGCTTCTTTGCTTGATTGAATTGTTAAAACCGACAAAAAACGGTAAACAAACATTTGAATTTTTATTGTAGTTCTTCGTTTAGACCACAGAACATAGGGGGGAAATTTTGTGGTTTAGACAACAGACATTTCCACAGAACATCCCCCCAGAACAAGGAGGATATTCTGTGAACATTTCTTGTTCGTAGATGTTCAGGGTGTTCTGTGGTTCGTAATGTTAACAGGGCATTTATTGAAAATAGCTGAAAAATATGTTTTCAACTGCTTAATTTATAAATAAAAATATTCGGATTAATTATTTAATTTTTTTTAACTTTGTGTGTAATTTCAGTGTACTAACAACTTACAATAACAGAAATTTTTTATTTTAGTATCGTATTAGCACCTGTCTCTGTTTAACTCACAGCAACATCGATAAAATAGCTACTGACTTTCCAACATAATGCATACATAATTAAATAAATCAGTAGTTAAAAAACGATTATTTGTTCTTGCCTGGATCTATTTTAGCTTTACTGTTTTTATTAGTCTAATATGGTTTTATTATTCTGTATGGCAGCCATTTTCGATTTTCTTCACGTGGATTACGTCACTGTCGACACATTGTCGATTGTCTGTCATGGGGTTAATTTGAAAAGTGTCTAACCTTGATCCAGTTTTCATTAATTTATTATAATACAAAAATCATGGAAATTTGGAAGATATTTTGTTTATGCTTTATTATTCACAGTGCATTGGCTTTCGAGGATAACGAAGATAATGAGTTTGCCGAATTCGAAGATTTTGATGAATCTGACTCCAATATCATTGAAGAGGAACGAATTGATCAAAAAGGAAACGAACAGGATAAGTTTGTGCCACTTTCCCGAGAAAAAGAACCAGAAAAATCGGTACAGGTAGAAAGCGATGAAGAGGTAAGTTTGATTTATGCGAATTTACAATGATCTAGAAGTTTTTGGCAAGTTATACATGTTTTAGTCTTTAAATAATTCAGTAATAAATATATATACAGGGTTGCTCATTAGTGCGTCAAAGTGCGATATCTCAGTAAATATGAACTTTACAAGAAAATACGTCCTACGAAAGTTTTTCATGTTTAAAAGGTCCACATTTTAAAATTACTTTCCAATATACGGGGGGTATCATAAACGTGTGGTAGTTACCAACTTTGGTTTTTTAAATGGAACCGCCCCTTTTTTCATTCATTTTCAGATTTGTCGTCAAAATTTAAGTTAAGTTTGTGTCAAACGTTTTACCTGAAAAATTTACGATTTCCGAGTTATTCGTAAAAATGTGAAAGTTTTGACAGCTACTGGGTTCCACAGAAATCGATGCTGTACACTACTCGCTGCGAATTTTGGAAAACAGTTTTCAGCGATTCTAACAGAACATCATGATCTACGCGTAGATATGTTTTAAATTATAAGGAAATACTTCTAAA